GAAGGTCAATTCATTTTAGCTGCTTTGTAAGTTGGATGTTATCTTGCTGAAGTTTTATGATAGTGCACTTTAAGTTATCATTTCCAGTGATGGTCACAGCAAGCTTGTTCCCGGTTTCTGCCGCTATTGTCTATGTAATTAATAAAAAAAGAAGATTATTAAGAGGGAAGAATAATAAATAAATAAGAAATACAAGCCATCGGCCTGTTCCGTTGGGCCCAAAGTCTGCTTAGTTTACTGAGTTCATGCTTTTTTGGGCTTTAGCCCCATTGGATATAGAATTGGAAGCCCACTATTAAACCAAAAACGGGAAAAAAGATGGCAAACATCAGATTAGTCCTCAAGTTACAACTCAAATCTCAATGAAATTCTTAAAAAAAAGAAAAGAAAATCGATCTTAATTAAATCCTCAAAGTTTTCAAGAATTCCCAATCCAACTTGTTAACAAACTTGTTAAAAGAGTTAGCATTGTTTAACAGACATTTGGTGATTTCATTTTCAATCCTCTAAGTATTTGATTTCTTTCTCCAGCCCAGCATAAATATTCCTGGGCTGCCAAAAAATAAACTATTAGAAATTAGAAGCAGTAGGCTTAGGCCCTTCTCTCTACTAAAATCAATTTTGATGGTTGATAAAAATAAAAAATAAAAGAAACTTACTTTTAGCTCAATCAATTCTAGCTATTTTGTAAGATGGATAATTTCTAGCTTTGCTTTTGTTTTCCGACAATGCACTTTAAGTTAATAATTTCAGCGATGGCCTTGGCTAGATTGTTCTTGATGTTCGTCATCAATTGCTTTCTGCATAATTAATAACAAACAATTGATTATGAGTTAACGTCGCTAAACTTCGTATTTGTTTAATGAATTGAAACCCAGCAGTTAATCAAAGGGAGAAAAGAAAAAAAGAGAAGGCAAACCTCAGATTAGTTCTTCAGCTATATAGCCCATGCTGATCTCAGTGGAATTCTTAAAGAGTCAAAGTTTACAGTTTTTGTCAAAATCTTCAAGAAATTTCAACGAAAAATATCAAGCTTCCAACAAATCAACGTGGTTTTTTGTTTATTTGAGGCTCACATTCTTGTTTTCCCGATAACGTCTGTCACTATCCCGCTTCTTTTGTTTCTGCATTTCCGTTTTCTTCTGGTTTTGCATTTCGACGATGCCAATTCCGTTTGAACAGCTAGCCGGGTAGGAGAGCAGCAGCAGCAGAGGGAGTGGGAGTAGTAAGAAAGGAGAAGAGTGGTTCTAGCAATAGCAATAGCACCATAAGTCAACGTTTTATTGAAAGACACGATAATTCCTTGGATCAATCTCCCGGCTTTATACCCATCACAACCGATGAGCATTGAGTTTCGTTTCTGGTTGCCAACAAATCTTTTGCTTTTGACATTTCACGTCGTTGTCTACGAGTAAATTATAAATTAGTCCCTCTTGTTTTGAAAAATAAATTAATTATTGAAATTTGAAAGCATGCATAATTATTGAAATTTGGAAACATGTCAGGGAATATGCAAAATTTCGTGTTCTTGGTTGCTTCCTTTGCATCTTCAAAATCTTTTGTTACTATTATATAAGAAAATTCCCATTTTAACAAAAAAAAAAAAAGCCTAGTCGTGTTTCAAGCATAGTCTCTGTCTAGCTTTGCAGTAGCCTTGCAATGATGACCTCCTCGTCTTCTATTGTTTTTCCAAGTTCTTCGTTTTCTCTTATGACCTTAATCATGTCTGAGATGTTAGTGGTCTCTTATGTAGGCTCTGGCGAAAAAGGAATTCTTAAAACTTCTACATCTTAATTAAATCCTCATAGTTTTCATAAATTTTTTAATAAGTTTTTCCGTCTAACTGTTCAAAAAGTTTTAATAAAAAAACTTCAACCTCTCTACAAATCAACATTCCTTTCATATGCATATATAAACGGAGAGTTTAAGGTTTAAACCAAATCCATTCACGCATAGGGAAAGGGACTAAATGAAACTTTTATGAAACTTAGAGGAATTAATTGAAATTAAAAGTACTCAAATGAAAACATCTATATACCTGGGGTTTAATTTGTGGTTAGCACAATATACCGGAACCCAACTCATTAATTTAATTTTTTATCCTATCAATCAAAACAATACCCTACTAATTACTTATTTGAAAAATCATTATATAAATTTTTATTCTTTTCATACCTATCTTATACTAGTTTACTCGTATATTTAATACCCATTAAATACCTGCTAAGTTTAATATGTCAAAAATATTCATTTTAATCTTTATATTTTTTAAGCTTTATATTTTTTAAGAAAAGTTTTTTTGATCCTTAAAATTTATTTTTTGGCATTTTGGTTATTTATTTATAAGTTTTTTTTATCCTTAAATTTTTTTTAAAAAATATTTTAATCCTTAATTTTTAAATTTTATGCTAATAGATCCTTTCATGTTAATAAAAAATCTAAATAAATTAGTGATTATTAATAGAATAAAGAATAAACACCCATACCCCGAAACCATATTAGTGAATAAATATTTTTTTATCCTTATCTACTTCAATACTTATTAAGTATTATTAATGGGTATTTATTAAATCGGATAAAATAAATATCTATTTTATACTCGATATATTGTCATCTCTGATTACTTTATTGTTTTCCCCATAACATTTGTCACATTCTCAGACCAGGAGTAGGAGTAGCACCTTTGTAAGTTGGATGTTTTCCTGCTGAAGTTTTTTGACAGTGCACTTTAAGTCATCATTTTCAGTGATGGTCATAGCAAGCTTGTTCTCGGTTTCGACCACTATTTCCTGCATAATCAATTAAAAAGAAGAAGATTATAAAGAAGTAGCAAGCTGGGTTCATATAGAAAGAAAATTATAAAGAGGGAAGATAAATAAATAAATAAAATAATTAAAAAAGGGTAGTCATGTTACATTTAAGGAGGGCAATGGATCGATAACTAGCCCATTAATTTAATTTTTTATTCTATCCATCAAAATAATACCCTATTTATTACGTATTAAGAAATCGTCATATAAATCTTTACTCCATCCATAGTCAACTCATATTAATTTACCCGTCTAAGTTTAATTTATCAAACAATACCCTCATATTAATTTACCCGATTATTTAATATCCGTTAAGTTTAATTTGTCAAAAATATTCATTTTAGCCTCTATGTTTTTTTAAAAAAAGTTTTTTTGATCCTTAAAATTTATTTCTTTTGCATTTTGGTTATTTATTTATAAGTTTTTTTTATCTTCAAATTTTTTTTAAAATATTTTGATTCTTAATTTTTAAATTTTATACAAATAAATCATTTCATGTCGTTAATAAAAAATCTAAATAAATTAATGGTTATTAATAGAATAAAAAGTGAATACTTATATCCCGAAACCATATTAGTGAATATATATTTTTTTATCATTATCTATTTTAATAATATTTGATTCTTTGAATATTCTTAATAAGTATTTATTGAATTAAATAAAATAAAAATCTATTTTATATCCAGTGCATTATCATCGTTGATTACGTTCTAGCCTTCCAGATAACGTCCCTCACATTCTCTGTTCTTTTGTCTCTGTATTCCTCCTCTTCTGCTTTTGCATTTCTTCAATCCCAATTCCTTAAGAGGAGTCAGGTAGGAGGCTAGGAGCAGGAGTAGCACCTTTGGGAGTGGAACTAGTCAGCAAGCAGAGTGGATCTAACAGTAGCACCAACAAAAAGAAAGAATTAAAAAATTATGATATTGCATACAATTCAATAGCATGCCATCCGATCAAAAGATTATCAACTTGGAATAGACTATTAAGTCACGGCCTCACTGTTCTTCTCAGATTATGGATTCTGTGTTTTGATCATAAGCTCTTAGGGCTATTTATAGAGTCAGATTATAATTACAAATTTACTAGCTAAATCTAAAAACTTCTTAAGAGCATTTATAACGTTCTCTTTATCATAATTTTTATCTTTAAAATTGATAAAGAGAGTGTTTTGATATTCAATCTATTTAGTCTTTAATAATTATTTATTTTATATTTCATTAATGAAAATTATTATTTTCTATGTCATTCAAACTCTTTATCAATAATCTCTCTAGATTTTATAGATTTTATCAAAATAAAGAGTTAAATAAAAAATAATAAAAAATATATTTATATTCAATCTATATAATTAATAATATTTTTTATTTATATTAAAAATACTAACTAAAAATAAATAAGATCGTTATAAATGTTCTAAAACATAGTCCTCAATGGACCTTTAAATCTGAAACCTTCTTAATACATGGCCCTCAAACGGCCTCTTGGACGTGACAGCAGCAGCCTCCTCTTACTAATTTGATTCCCTAGCTACGCACGAGGCTGCCCCATCATTTTCTTCTCGTCACACTCCATTCTCTCCCTTTCCCATGACGTATCAGGAATGACCCCTCCGTAAAAATTTTCAACTTCTACTCACAGGAGGGGTCATCCTACCATTTGACGCAAAAGTAACATTTGGTAGAATGACCCCTGCTTTGTGATTGCTTTTCTCTTTCTTATTTATTTATAATTTTTTTCAGAGGATCCTTTTTGAACAAGTTGAAAATTTTAATTTCAATTGATATAAAAATGGATGGTGTCATTCTATCAAACGTACTGAAGAATATTCTATCAGGTGAGGTCAGCTCCAAAAGTACTGAAGAACTCTCAGCACCCAAAGCATATTGTTTGTACGAGAAGAAAAAACCTGCTCATGAAAATGGAAGTGACTTTGACTCACCGTATTAGGAATTCAATTTTTACCTTTGGAAAAATTCTGTTTTTTTTTATATGGTACTGAATATAAATTGTTGATATACTCAAAAAATTCAGTTTTTATAATTAATCTAAAATTAAACATAATTTAATGACTAATTAATTAAAAAATTTTTAATTTCAATTGATATAAAAATTAACCAAAAATTACCCCAATATTCATATTCATATTGTTTGTATCAGAAGACAAGGTGGGCATTCTAATTAAAACAAAACGGGTGATTTGGCTAAATTGGGAGGTAAGGTTGACAATTCTTCAGTTCTGCTCATCCGTCCTCGCCGGGTATCAGTCACATCTTCCTGGGACACTGATGGAGTCCCCTTTGATGGGTCATAGTTCCTTGCTATCTTTATCATCTTGACCAAAAAATAAAAAATAAAAGATAAAAATTGCGCAGGAGATTATTGGAACTTTTGTTTCCTTAATTAAAAAACTTTTGAGTTATTTATTTAAAGTATGTTCGCAATTGTGATCAATGACATGCATATTGCCGTCCACGGTAAAAATGTATTTGCAAATACATCCTCTTCGGATAACCAAATGCTACTTCATGCGTTTTTCTATAGATTAAGAGAGACAATCCAACATATAGTTTGAGAATTTACCCCACGAGCAGCCTGCAAAATGTAGAAGGGGTAATTAGAGACAAAGGGTTACTAAGACACACACAAACGTATATGCATGTGTTTGCGTACACTATTGTTTGTACGAGAAGAAAAAACATTCTCGTGAAAACGGAAGTGCCTTTGACTCACCGTATTAGGAATTCAATTTTTACCTTTGGAAAAATTCTGTTTTTTTTAATTTATTATGCTGGCCCTGTATATGCTTTTTCAATGATTTTGGAGTTGCATTCCCAAATGCTCTATTGAGATAGTAATATGAAATTATTCCATTGATTTGACTTAATAGCATGTGTGGCACTCCTAATGTACTGATTGGAATCATTCCATTGATTAGACTTTATATGGTCTAGTCTATCACGCTAACTTCTTGTGATTTAAAGTAAAGATCTTATGGAATTCAATGTTTTTTCTGTGGAAAAAAAAAATGGACCGAAGGATGTATTATGCTTGAAAATTCATTGATACTCACAAGACCTAATTGAAACAACGAGACTCTTACGAGGTTTGCCCTAAATAAATTAATGTCGTGTTTGGTTGGATGGATTCAGCCAGAATCAACTACAGTCAGACATATATTCTTCTTTTTGGTTTTTCGTTTTGAGAATAGAAGAATATTGTACTCACACACAGATGTGTATGAATACAATATTCTTCTGTTGTCTCTCTTTTTCCCCTTCGAACTATTCAAAGTACTTTCAAAAAGTAAAAAGCTCAACCAGCAATTTTTGGGTTGGTGCAAAGTTTAGTTGATATTGGACAAGTTTTGGATTGGTGGAATTGAGTTGATTTGAATTCAATTCATTCAAGCTCAACGAAAAGTTGCCAAGAAATTTATGCGAGCTCAATTCTTACATACGGTCCAAAGAGTGTGAACTTGTTTCTTTTTTTTTTCAATCTTTTCCCTTTATTCTATTTTTTCATCTTAATCTTGTTTTTTTTTTTTAATCAAATTTAAAAAATAAAAACAAAGAAAATATAGCTAGTTATTCTCTCTAAAAAAAAATTATTAAAATACCATCTCACTTAAAAGTTTAAGCTGATAGGTGAGGTCCTAGAATATAATTTATAATAGTCTCTAACACATCCCCTCAAGTGAAAGCCTCAACATTTGAGCTTGAAACTTGCACGAGTTCATATTACTTTATGCTTGATATTTGAGAAATTATGGATTGTGAGACTTGAACTCGGGACCTTTTGGTCAACCAAGCTCGATACCATATTAAAGGATCATCTCACCTAAAAGTTTAAAGCTGGTAGGTAAGGTTTTAAAATATAATCTATAATAGTCTCTAACAAAAATAAACATAAAGAAACAAATATTTTTTATTTAAAAGATTCTTCCTGGTTTTAAATTTATCTATATATAGTAAGCAAAATTTTAATATAAAATGAAATATTTATAGTATTTATTTTTTAAATACGAAGAAAGTTTTATTTAAATTTTAATCTTTTGAATATTATTTGTAATTTATAATATTTCAAAAAAGTCTATTATGATTTAATTATCTTAGTTTTATAAATTTCTTATTTTGACTAAAAAATGAGAATATAAATTTTGTTACAAATTTTAGCTAAATTATGAAATTTTTCACTGTTGGGTCCAATACTAACAAAAATTTATATTCCCTCCTTCGAATTAAATTAAAAAAACTTACGCGGTATTCACACACATATGCAATTAGGTGGTGCTTGATTTGTCAATCAGGGAAAGCTAAACGGTTCAACCAGCTATTACTTTTTGGTTTTGCATTTCGACGGCAGCAGAATATTGTATTCAGACACATCTGCCTTCGAGGTCAGGAAGATTGAAAAAAAACTGCGTTTCTAAAGGGAAACATACGCATATATAAAAGCAACCAATCCCGTGGGGTCAGCTAACCGGAAGACAAGGGCAAACCGGTACTAAAATAAAAGTTATCACTCTTAAAAGTAAACAGAGCCAAACAGTACTAAAATAAATAAATATATGCAACAGCTGTCGGGGATTTTTTATTCGATTATTTTATACATACAAGTAATTTGGAGAAGAATATTAAATTCAACAAAACATAAAGAAATTAATCGGCATGTGTCTCTTTTCAAAAATTGATTTTATTCCATGTCTTTTCAGTTCTATTTTTTTTTCCCTCTATCTTTAATTAATTTCGTTTGGAGCTTTAACAATCACTGTTTTTTTTTTTTTTAATTCATTGGATTAGTACGATTTCTAAGCCAAAATAATTCACGCTGAGGAAGACATTCTTCTTCATTTGTTGGAATTGAGTTAGAAAGATAATAAAAATACATATCCAAATAAAAAGCTAATTATATTAGTGTTAGAGACTAGTATAAATTATATTTTAAAATTTCATCTATCACATAAAATCCCACTTGAAAACACTTTCAAATTTCCTTCACAGTACGCTTAACTTATTATCTAACATTCCTAAGATTTCTAACATATGGTATTAAAGCTTGATTGACCTTGAGGTCTTGAGTTAAAGTCTTATCATCTTCAATTTTTCAAGTATTAAGCACAAAGCAATGTAGACTGTGCAATTTTCATGCTTCAAATATTGGATCTTTTACTTGATGAAGTATGTTAGAGACTAGTATAAATTATATTCTACGACCTCATTTGCAACCACATCACCAGTTCAAAATCCTTCTTTTACAATATTTAAGTTTAAAAAATATTTAATTACAAAAAAAATAGAGTAGTGTTTTGTATTTATAATGGTGATCAATTTAGCTCGTGATGATAAGAATAAACCCTCGTCTATCCGGTAGTAACTAGTTTTAAAAAATATGTTATTACGGCTCTCTTGTCCTACTAGTACTAATCTCGCTTGATCACTGATAGTGAATTGTGGAGCGAAAAAGCAGATCATACTATATAAAGAATATTAGGCACTGCAACTTCCCCTGACTGTGTTTTCAAATTGAAAGTAAATAACTTTTGGGTTTTACGCATATACAAATCCTGTACAATTCAAAATTTTTTTGATTAAAAACTTAAATATTTTTTTATCTAATTTAAGAGTTTTATTCTTATGTTGTTGTTGTTTCAAACTTTAACCAATGATAATTTACCATGTAAACGCATGAGATAAACTCTAACTAATAATAGTTTGCAACGTTATCAATTCAATCACTCAATTTAGATCCATCATGATGCGTGACAAGTTGTTATTAGCTATAGTTTATCACGTGTTTTTATGTGACGCATTGAAATCGAAACAATAACAATATAATAATAAAATTCTTAAATTAGATATAAAAAAATTAAGGTGTCAATCAAAAAAATTAGAATTTTAGAAAATCTTGATATGTGTAAAACCCAATAATTTTTTGTGAATCTTATTATATGACAAAATTCCCATTCGACAAAAAAATAATAATAATAATAAATAAAATAAAATAAAATAAAATAACTATCTAGTCATGTTTCAAGCAGAGTCTCTGTTTAGTTTTGCAGCGAGCCCTGCGATGATGACTTTCTATAGTGTTCCTTTTTCTTTTCAGTTCCCCGTATTCTTTCAGAACCTTAATCATGTTTCAGGTGTTAGTATCGTTCAACACACACTTGATCATTTCTCTGTGTTGCTGCAGCCAGCCCTGCGATGACGGCCTCCATGTGTTCTATGGTTTTTCTAAGTTCTTCATTTTCTCTTGTGACCTTAATCATGTTTGAGAAGATAGTGTTAGGATCCCTCGATAGACACTTGGCCAATTCGTTTTCGATTTTCAGGTATTTGATTTCTCGCCTCAGCTCAGCCTCTGTGCTCTCTGTCTGCCAAAAATAGAAAAAGAAGAATTAAAAGTACTAGGCTGGGTTGCATAGACTTGGTTCTTTTTTTTTTTTATTGATATTAATTTTAATAGTTGATTAAAAAAAAAGAAAAAAAAAAGCCCTTACCCTAACCGCAATCGATTTCAGCTCCTTGTTCAGGTTTTCGACGGTGCACTTTAAGCCACCATTTTCAATGATGGCCGTGCCGAGCTCCTTTGTCAGGTTTTCGACGGTGCACTTTAAGCCATCATTTTCAATGATGACCGTGCCGAGCTTGTTCTTGGTTTCCATCTCTATTTTCTGCATGATTAACCCCAAAAATAAATAAATAAATAAAGAATCGCTTGTTAGGCCCAAAAGTCTTTTTGTTTAGTGAGTTCATGACTGTTTTTACACCCTAAAGCCCATTGCCTGAATTGAATTTGAAACCCTTTGATTGATCGAAGATTTTTTTAAAAAGGACAAACCTTGAATTAGTGCTCAAACTCTAACCTAAATCTCAACAGAATTCTCATAGTTTTCATAAATTTTCAATAAAACCGAATCCATTCATGCATATGGATGGGGACTAAATAAAAATTTTGTGAATACTCGAGACTTAATTAAAATAGAGAGGAGTCAATTGAAAACATCTATATAGTTGGGGGTTTAAGTTGAGGTTTGCCCAATAGCAACAATATTTACATTCTTCTTTTCCCGATAACGTCTGTCACACTCCCGCTTCCTCTCTCTCTTCATTTCACTTCTCTTCTGCCTTTCTTCAATCCCAATTCCGTTGGAGCAGTCAGGTAGGAGACTAGGAGTAGGAGTAGCACCTTGGGGAGTGGAACTAGTGAGAAAGGAGAGTGGATCTAACAGCAGCACCAACAAAAAGAGAATTAAAAAAGCTATTTTATTAGATCAAAAGATTATAAATTTGGAACTTACCCATCTGCTGTCCAGAGCCACCATATAAACTTGTTAAATCCATCGATGCAAAGTCTACACAACCTTAAGGCAAAAACTAGAAGAGACTTTTTTTTTCTTTTTTCTTTGTTGGATCTACTTAACCTCTCGAGCAGCCTGGTGCAAAATGTAGAAGGGGTAGCTAGATACACAAACGCAGATATATATATGAATCAAAGTGGGATGTACCATGCCGTGCTTACTTTTTTTAATAGAAAAAACTAACGTAAATTATTGGGCAACTTTTGATGTCAATTACTAATCGATGGGGACATGGGGTGGTTGAATATTTTAGTGTTAAAAAATTGACGATTAGGAGAAATGAAATTCAACGAAGAACCGATTAGTGAAACAGCAATTGTCTTAATTTAGCAGCATGGTACGCTATTTGCCCATATTCTTTGAAGCCATCCCTTTATAAAATAAACGAACAATGGGGTAAATCTTAGAAAGAGTCCCAACCGATAGGAGAAATCGCAAGTAGGAGAAATTCTAATCAAATCCTTTCGTTATTTTTAGCGAACAAAACTATTAAATAAGAGCATCTTCAATTGTGCTCTTTATTTTTAGCTTGTATTTTTAATATAAATAAAGAACATCATTAATTATATAGATTAAATATTTATATTCTCTCTAATGCTACTCTCTACTTTAACTCTTTATTATAACAAAATCCATTAAATCCAAGGAGACTATTGATGAAGATGCTTGAGTGGCATAAAAAATAGTAATTTTCATTAATAAAATATAAAATAAAGAGTCGTTTTGACTCTCTAGTATTAGAGCATCTTCAATGGTGCTCTTTACTTTTGGCTAGCATTTTTAACTTAAATAGAGAGCATCGTTAATTATATAGATTGAAGATCAATATCCTCTCTAATGCTACTCTCTACTTAACTCTTTATTTTGACAAAATCTATAAAACTAGAGTGACTATTAGTGAAGAGGTTGAGTGGCATAGGAAATAGTAATTTTTATTAATAAAAGATAAGATAAAGAGTCATTTGGACTCTCTAGTATTGGAGAGCCAAAGACACTCTCTATATCAATTTTAAAGATAAAGATTATTATAAAGAGAGCATTGGAGATGAAATTTAGATCAAATCTCTTTATTATAAAGAAAAGTCTTAATACAAAGAGAGCATTGGAGATGCTCTTAGAGAGTCAAAAACACTCTCTATCTCAATTTTAAAGATAAAGATTGTGATGAAGAGAGCATTGGAGATGAAATTTAAGCTAAACCTCTTTATTATAAAAAAAAATCTTAATATAAAGAGAGCATTGGAGATGCTCTAATCATGTGAACCTTGAGTGAATTTTCTTTCCTCCATTAAAACTCCATAAACTTACTAAAATCCCTCTCACCATCCGATGAAACCAAGTATAATAAATAAATAAATAAATGCTTAGTGTTTCTTTATATGTTCCGCTCTATTATATTAATTTCATGTGATTTAAAGTAAAGATATAAAAACAATCAATGTTTTTTATCAAAAAAAAAAAAAAACACTTGAGTTTTATGTGACTACTTAACCATTTTCTTAACGAAAAATGATGTTATTGAAAATTCATTGATACTTACACGATTGAATTGAGACGAAAAACAGATTGAGGACCTAATCTAGATTTTCCATAAAGATGAGAGACTCTCATGAGGTTTGCCCTAAATAACTTTATGTCGTATGATTGGCGGGGTCCATTCAGATTGATTGGCTGCCGTCAGCCAGGGCCCAGAATCAAGTACAATTCCGCAAGACAAAAGGCGAAGTTTCGAAGACGTACTGTCTTACATATAATTGTTGTTATTATTACAAAAAGAAGGGACACGTACTTTCGATTCTTGGTTCCATCTTCTTTTTAAAAAACAGTGTTTTAATTAAAGTAAGCTCACAAGAAAGAAAAGTCAACTCCTCGGTGGATTAAGATTTTCGTTTTTTTGTCAAATTGTATTTCAAACAGTGAGTATTTTTGAATAAATCATTAAAACAAAAGAAGTAAACTCAAAATAAATTAAGATCTTGTATATAATGTTGTATGTATCGTTATTAAAATTAAAATTAAGGCGGATGAGAGTAAATTATAAATTAGTTTCTTTCATTTGAAAAATGTTTCAAAAACTAATTATTGCATTAAATTTGAGAGGTCTGGAATTGTCTATATTAGTTGGATTGGATTTATAAAATTCCAGCCCATTCCAATAGGCCTCCCGGCCCATCACGTTTTTAAGGCTCTAGTCCATAAAAAGGTATTCAAGCAGATATAGCTGTGATTTCCATCTCCCGCTTGCCCGCCAGATCTTAATTAAATCCTCATAGTTTTCATAAATTTTCAATAAGTTTTTTCACCAAAAACTCTTCAAAAGAAAAAAATCAATGGAGAAATGTCAAGCTCCGTACAAATCAACATCGCTTTCTTATGACCTTAAATACAATTGGGTTTCCAACAATCTATATTAGATCTTCAACGTATCAATAGATTCTCATTTAGATCCTTCCATTACTTTTAGTTAACAAAATTATTAAGCAATCAAGTGAATTTTCTTTTCTTCATTAAAGGTCCATAAGTTTACTAATACCCCTCTCATCGTATGATGGAATAAACCATATAACAAAAAGTAAATATTTCATGTGTTTTATCTCATTTTTTTCATGTATTTTAAAATAAGGATCTTGGAGAATTCAATGTTTTTCCATAAAAAATAAATAAATTAGGTGACTAGTTAATAGTTTTATTAACTAAAATTGGTCATGCAATTAAAAATTCATTCATACTCACAAGACCTAATCGACACAAAAAATAGATTGAGGACTCAAACTAGGTTTTCCATAAAGAAGGGAGACTTTTATGAGGTTTGCCCTAAATAATTTTATTGTCCTGTTATGGATTCAGATTTGCAGGCTTCCTTTCAGCCAGAATCAACTACAACTCCGAAAGAAAAAAGACTGCCTTAATCTATATATGTTCTTTTTTTTTTCCTCCCTATATTGTTATTGTCAAATTGAAGTGACTTCTTTTGCAGATATCGGTTGTTATTTGTAACTATGAATGAGAAAGACGAGGGAGATTAAAGAAAACAAAAGGGAGCGAAGGAGGGGGGACGTGTGTCCTTTCCTTTCTGGTTACCGTTTTCCATTGACAAACGTTATTTTAATCAAAAGAGGTCTAAACTTCTTGGTGGATTAAGGTTTCGTTTTCTAAACGGCTTGAGAAGCCGTCCAAAGCAAGGTAATGATGAAACTAATACTAATAATATATGTGTGCTTGTCTATCTGTCGAACAAACCAATTACATGAAAATGATTAAACTTTAAAATTATAATCAAACTTACTTTGCATGTTTATTTAATGATCAAGTTCAAACACAGCCCCACATACACGCCCGTACAACATCGTATGTATACACTGTCTACGTGATTCATGGTAGGACAGCCCAATTACTATATACAAGAAATTCCATTTGAACAGTCCTTGTCATGTTTCAAGAGCTTTTCAGTCATCCTGCAATGATGTCCTCGTCGTGTTCTGTTGGTCTTTTCATTCTTCGTTTTCTCTTAGAACCATAATCATGTTTGAGAGGTTAGTGGTATTAGGATCATCCAATAGACACTTGGTCATTTCATTTTCAATACTCATATATTTGATTTCTTGCCACAGTTCAGCATAAATGGCCTCGGGCTGCCCAAAAAAGAAAAAAAAGAAGAAGATTTAAAAGTAGTAGGCTAGGGTTTGTGGGCTTAATTAATTCTTTCTCTATACTGAAATCAATTCCAATTGTTGATTAAAAAAAAAAAAAACTTACCCTAAGCATTATCGATTTTATCTGTTTGTAAGTTGAATGATTTCTTGCTGGAGAGTTTTGACAGTGGACTTCAATTTTTCATTTTCATTGATGGTCATGGCCAGCTTATTCCTGGTTTCTATCAATGTTTTCTACGTGATTAATAAAGAAAAAAAAATATTAAGAGAGGCGAAAAATAAATAAAATAAAAAACACAATCTGCAGGCATGTTCTATTAGGCTTAAAGTTTGTTTTGGTTACTGAGTTCATGTCTCTTTGTGCTTTAACCTATTTGGATAGATAAAATTGAAAACCCGGCCACCGGTTGATTAAAAAAAAAAAAAGGGATAAAAGTCGTATTAGTCCTCGAGTTACAACTCAAATCTCAATGAAATTATTTTTAAAAAAATTGATATTAATTAAATCCTTAAAAGTTTTCGAAAATTTCCTATCCTACTTTTTAACAAACCTGTTAAAAAAGAGTAATTAAAGATCAAGATTCCTACAGATCAACGTCATTTCTTATATATAAATGATCACATATGGACAGGGATTAAATTGATAACGTTTTAAATATTTGAGGATGATTGAGAAAAAAAAAGATCTCAATTGAAAAAAACCTCCATTATTTGTGGAGTTTATTTGAAGTTTAAGTCGGTAACGTCTATCGGTTTCCCGCTTCTTCTTCCTTCGCATTTCCTCGGTGACAGTTCCGTTCAAAGAGTACTCATGAGGTGGGAGAAGGAGATGAGTAGCAAAGGAGGTAGTGGGAATAGCCAGAAAGGAGAGCGGATCTAGCACTACCACCAAAGAAACGGGAGACAAAACTATAAGCCAAGCTATGTATGGTATATACTTAATTAATAAAGAATCAATTTAAACGATGAAAGATTGTTAAAAAATTAGTACTTACCTTCCTGTTCTGCAGAGGCAGAGCCACCGAATCTTTTTGGTTTTATTCTGTTGTACTCACACGTTATATATATATATACATATAATGGCAAAGCAGCTACCCTAGTCGATCACCCCGAAGTCTGACACTTCTTTTAATGGAAATCCAAAGAATCTTGAAGGACTTTTGACAATTCCAATCCAAAAGGGCCAATCTGGTGGGGTCAGCAAACCAAAAGGACTTGTAGAAATTCCAACTCGGTGGGGCCAATCTGGTGAGGTCAGCAAAACGCAAACCAAACAGGTCAGCTTGGTAGTAAGAGTAAATTATAAATTAGTTAATCAAGTTTCGATAAAAAAAAAAATAACTACTCAATTTTCCAAAATTTATTATTTAGTTTTCATATTTTTAAGTTTAATTATATATTAATTTTTTAATCTTATTTTAATTTTTTATTTTAAGAAATAAAAAAATTGATGAAAAAAAATATTTTTTAAATAAAATAATATTAAATTAAGTACGATAAATATTGATTAATATACTAAATAATGGTTTTTGAAATAAAAAATTATATATTTATTTTTTAGAACCAAAGAAACTAACTTACAATTTACTTGTTTTATCATGTTGTATAACAAGAATTTTTTTTTAAAAAAAGAGATTTGAATTATAAATTTTTTTATGGAGACAAAAAGTAATACAAACTACAGTTTATTGACTTATATTAAAAATATGAAATTAATACGAATTATAGTAAAAATTAAAAGTACTGGCATCCCGCCTTTAAAAATAAAAGTAACATGGAATCTGTTAAAAAAAAAAATGGTAATTTCGTATAAGATGACTATGAATCAAGTCTTTTGATTATTCTTGAATTAAATTAGAAATAGTAAAAGTCAGCAGACTATAATCACCTTAATTGTTAATTCGAAAGGTCAATAATCGAAAAAAATAACTTAATTTATTATTGGGCATCTTAATTTTGATGTTAAATAATACCAAGAATCAACGAGGGTAGTTGAATAGTCCATTGCTGAAAATTTGACAACGAGGAGAAATCGAACAAAAGAAGGTAGAGCGATTTGCAAACCGACATCATCTATCGGCTGTATGAATAGACTGGCTAGAATATTGCTAAAGAAGGGTCGGACGATTTGCAAACCGTCGTCACCAAACCACTATATATATATATAGACTGGCCAGAGGATAACTGCCTAGAGGACACGCGGACTGGTGTGTGTGTGTATATATATATATAGACTGGCCAGAGGATAACTGCGGAGAGGACACGCGGACTGGTTAATGCAGTTATGCTAACGTTGTTGTTTTAAGGAAGCTAGGCTGCATGGTCCACCAGGTGTCAATTCTGGAAGTTTCTAACTATCCCATTACGGGAAATATATAATTTTAAGTTTTGCTGTTGGTGGGATCGAGTCAAATTTACTGGCTTCCTATTAGCCTCAATCAGGGTACACTCCGTGTTCCTGTCCTTTTTGGGTTCCATGTTGTTATTTTAATAAAACAGCCTGACTAATACGTGATAGCTCATTCGTAAGTAAATTTTTTTTACTAACATTTTTAAAAATCTATTCTTAAAATATTCATAACATTATATTAGATAGTATTTCTTAATCACATTAACGAAAAAATTAATTTTAAAATATGTAAAAATTAATTTAAAAACACTTTTATGATTGAAAAAAATAAAAAACAAGGCCTATTATATAAATCAACTTTTTGGCATAGTTAACATACCCAACTCGGGATTGATTCGGATACTAACCTTGTTAGACGCTAAGAAAAATTATATTTTTAGACTTTACTTATTAATTTAAATTTTTAGATGAAATTATCTTTTTAATATGATATCGAACATGATCATTTAATAAATCCAACCACGGCCATGAATCTCAAATAAATTTATTACTTTAATCATTTGATATATATATATATAATTGAATTTGTAATTTAGTGTATTTTTTGCTAGAGTACAATCCAGGTGTATCAAGAAAGTTTAAAACTCATCTCTTCAACCTAATTTTTTTCTTTTTAAATAATAGCTTCTTCTATTTCTTTTTCTTACATTTAACCCGATTGGATCTGGATTAGATCTGATCAGGTCGTTTGAGTTTGACCAGATCACTCAAGTCAACTTTTATTCAGTCCAACATCCATCCTAACTTAGATTAGGTTTCGGGGACGATGGGTTTTCGAGTCAACTTATTGGGCATATCCAAGTTTGACAACTATATATGCTTCTTGGTGGATTAGATTCGTTCGGAGGATATTAGGATTTATTGAGGGGTAAACAATCACTATGTGCTCTGTGCTATCGAGTTTCAGTCATATCAATTCCTTTACTGAATTTTGGTATGTACCAATCCTTCTATGTTAACTTTTAAGACAAGCTAATCCTTTAATTTATCCATCTCCATGATGGAATTCCGTTGGTTGTCCTCATACTATAATTAGTTAACTTAGCACTGACCATTCAAGTGTTACCATATAACATGAAAATAATTTTCAAACAAGAAAAAATTGTAGTAAAAGGAAAAAAAGAATAAATAATTATGAAATAAAAATTACAGCAAATAATCATTGTTTTTTTTTAAAAAAAATATTTTAAAAAATTATTTTCATGCCACATGACATCACCTGATTAGTCAATTTTAAATCAACTAAGGACGGGCGCTCAAATTGACGGAAGTTCCATCACAAACATGTACGGAAGGATTATCGTGTCTTAAAATCGAAAGGCTGGTGCGGACAAAAAGAGTAAAACAATTGATATGATTGAAACTCTTCAGTAGATGGGGTACATAGCAATTTTCTTTTTCCATTTATTAATTTGTGTGAACTTTTTTATTTTTACAATGGCATGTGCATCTCGACTTTAATTTTATTAATTGAATTGCTTATTTATTAATTGATAACGATAAAATCAAATGTCTCCATAGACATCTGTTAATAATTTGCTAATATATATATTTTAAATGATGACATTACAAATACTTAAAAACACAAGGATGTTTTACTATTTATTATTATTGTTTCTTTTACTTTTTAATGAACGGTGTTTTTTAGTTGTCCTCTTTCTTTCTTCTTCTTATTATTTTTTTTTAAAAAAAACACTTTACAAGTAAAAAATTTTTCAGCTAGATCGCAATATTTCTTTAAGTGCTTTGGTTTCAGTATTCACGTAGCAAATGTTTTTTTTTTTTTTAAGTTTATTTTTACTATACATGTTTTTTCCCTTTTGTTTGTTTTTTTACATCAATTTAGGTTTTTTTTATGTAGTTTTTAAAAAATTTTAGGTTTATTTTATTTTGATTTCTAAAATTTTAAAATATCTGGTCTTTCTTCAACTTTTTACAAGCATTTTGTTTTTAATGGTTTGGTTTCACTATTCCTGTAGCAAGCATTTTTTTTTTTTTTAGTTTACTTTCACTATACATGTTCTTTCCCCCTTTGCTTTTTTTTTTTTTTACATCAATTTAGGTTTTTTTTTTTATGTAATTTTTAAAAATTCTCGGGTTTATTTTATTGTGATCTCTAAAATTTTAAAATAAAAATTTTAATCCTCTAACCGATGCACTACACATGATTTTTTTCTTTTGTTTGTTTTCATCAACTTATGTTCTTTTTTTAATTTAATGAGGTGTTAAAATTTTGAAAAATCAATCGTTAATTTTTTTTTTTTTACACAAACTCACTATTATATAATATATACGATATTTTTTACATTTATATGATATATTCTTTTTTTATTTTTTATTTTACTTAGGTGTTCTTTTTATAATTTTTATAAATTTATATATTTTTTATTTAATTAGGTGTTCTATCTATCCGTAGCGTTGTACAAATAATTTTAAAAATTAATCTTCTCATCAACATTAAATAAGAATTTTTTCTCATTTGTTAATTTTTGTAAAAGTCTATCCATTAATTATAACTTTATTTTTTGGAATACAATATTATGAAAATTATATTTTAAAAGTTTTTTTAAATTCTTGATTAATATTTTAGTTAAAATTATTATATTTTTTATTTTAAAATAAATCCACAAAGAAGAATGATTTATCTTTTTTAAAACAGAAAATTTATTTTAAAAAATTACAAAAATCAAGTGAATAAAAAATCATGATTAAAAAATTTTAAAATTTTAAAATGATAATTTTTTTTATCAATCTTGGTGCGTAGTACGGGAAAGTGTATAGTAAATACTAAAACCTGAAGAGAAAAATCTTCAATGTTAGGAGTGTGAGCATTAAAATTAAATGATTTTTAATTAACAAAATTTAAATGGTTTTTATCAATTCATGTCCAAAAGTACTTTCAACACAGAGATTCACACCCCGAATAATCTGATAAATAAAATTTCAATCATGTCCTCCCAGCTCCCTTGGATAGCATTAATTACGACTTTATTCACATCAACATCTCCTGGGTCTCAGACCCCGGCATATCTCAACACTTGCAATATCACAATTACATTACAATTTATTTAAAACAGTCGAAATAAGCGATCGGAGTCGAAATGTTACCCGCGCAGCACATATAGACTGGAGAAGACGATTTGACCTCCGTTTGTGCACGGCTAGTCAGAAGGTGAAGCCAGGACTCTCTTTAACCCTCCGATGAAGGCCTCATTGACCACAGCCAGCTGGAGAGAGAGAGTCATGATCGGCAGTTACGACACCCTTCTGCCACTTCCTCCTCTTCCGCTCAACTTCCGGCTGCAAAAATAAGCATGGGAGGTCGAAGTCTACTAAGACTAGCCCTAGACCTCCGTTTTACCGATTCAACACTGAAATGAAGCCGGAAAACGTCTATGAATTCGGGCAAACGGGTCTAGTGTCTAGCCTTGGCTGATTCGGCATCCCTGCGAGTTGGAGAAGCTGTTTAGAGGGATTATGAACTGATTGGGGTGGTATTTTGAAGTGGGTTTCGGCCAGAGTTTTTTTCAGAGATGTAACTGGCGGGTCTAAAACGGGCTGGGAGCTGTTGTTTGGGTGGGAGAAGAGGAGTGGGATGTGGCAGTTGAGCGGGGGAAATAGCTAGAGAGGAAGAGAGCATGGCGGGTTAAAGGGTTTCGGGTTTTCTATCAATTCATGGGCTTAATTAATTCCTTCTCTATACTGAAATCAATTCTAATAATTCATAAAAAAAAAAATTGAGTAAATGTGAAAATTTTATTATTATTTTTTATGATTTCAGATGTGATTATTTTTTTTATATATTTATTTTTTTAAAAAAATTAAACTTATGAAGTAACTATTCTATAAAAAAATTTATCAGCAAACAGGTCAGCTTAATAAGAGTAAATTATAAATTAGTTCCGTTTTGGGAAATAAATTATTTACTCAAATTTATTTCAAAAAATAATTATTTATTTTTTATATTTTTAAATCTGGTTATAAACTTTTTTTTTTTGCTTTTTTAACTTATTTTTATTTTAAAAAAATATATGAAACAAATTAATGAGAAAAAATATTTTTTAAAAATAAAAATAATATTAAATTAAGCATAAAGAATACTGATAAATAAACTATATAATATTTTTTAAATAAAAAGAATTGATTTTTTTTTTAAACTAGAGGAATTAACTTACAATTTAGTTGTTTGATCATGTTATATAGCAAGAAGTTTTTTTTTTAAAAAAAATAGATTTGAATTCGAAATTTTTTTATGGAGACAAAAAGCAATACAAACTGTAATTTATTAACTTATATTAAAACATGAAATTAATACGAATTACAATAAAAATTAAAAGTACTGGCATCCCGCGTTTAAAAATAAAAGTAACATGGAATCTGTAAAAAAAGAAGTGGCAATTTTGCATAAGAAGACTAGAATCAAGTCTTTTCATGATTCTTGAATTAAATGAGAAATGGAAATAATAAAAACCAGCTTACTATGATTACCTTAATTGCTACTTTGAGAAGTCAATCATCGGAAAAAAATGAATTTTATTATCGGGCATCTTAATTTTGATGTTAAATAGTACCGAGAATCAACGAGGGCGGTTGAATATTCTATTTTTAAAAATTTGACAATGAGGAGAAATCAAACAAACAAAGGTAGAGCGATTTGCAAACCGGTATCATCTCTCCACTGTATGAATAGACTGGCTAGAATATTGCGAAAAATTGACAATTAGGAGAGATCAAGCAGAAGAAGGGCAGGTCGATTTGCAAACCGTCGTCATCGATCCACTGTCTGAATAGACTGGCAAGAGCATAACTGCCAAGAGTACACGCGGACTAGTTAATTTCGTTCTGCCAACGTTGTCTGGGTTGCATCGTCCGATTCTCCACTACTGTTCCATTAGAGGATAGCTGTCGAGCATAACTATCCCATTGAGGGAAATATATAATTTTATGTTTTGCTATTGGTGGGATCGAGTCAAGATTTACTGGCGCTTCCTACGAGCCTCAATCAACATACCCTCTGTGTTCCTTTCCATGTTTCTTTTGGCAAATGTTATTTTGATAAAATGGCACA